TTTCAAACATCGTGGTCTACTTTTACAGGTAACTAGGGGTCCAGTTTTACATGTGCGCCCAGTTTGTTCGCCCATCTAAAAGTGTAACACACAGCTGTTTACCCAGATAGTTAAAAATGTGCAGGAATAACCTTTAAGTGAGGAAAGATAAAATCTAATCATCATATCAAACAGCTGAATCTGATACAACTAAGTGTCTAAGTCAGGTGCAGCCCTACAAACCAAAATGTTTTACTAAAACTTGGTAGTTTCTAGAATCAGATCATGATTTGATATCAAATTTGTCAGACTTAGACTATTTATGTTGTGCAGCCGTGCACATCAAACCCCATTTAAAGGCAAAGATGAGAAACGCAACACGAGTCTGTTCACGAGGAGCTGGACCTGAAACCGACTGGCCTGGCTCTGACCAGAGGAAACTCCATCTTCCAGCAGCTCATTAACTGAAGTGTACAAACTGCTAATTATCTGTTCTAGGCAATTTACTCCTTTGTATTTTGACCAGGTCTCAATCTCAGTGGATTAAACCTGGTTAAAGAAAAGAAATAAAATGGAGATATAGCATGTTAGCTCATGAGGTTTAGGAGTGCTGGTACGTGGATGTTGTTAGCTCTGGATAGTGCTAAGCTAGCTGCTTCCTGTCTGCATGCTAAGCTAGCCCTACCAAAACATTTTGTTTAGAGTAAAAGGGAATTTCAGTGTTTAAGTCTCTTTATTAAAAGCATTTGAATGCAGGTTCTGTGAGATTTCTTTACACAGTAGTTTCACCCCGGCTGGTTTGACTGACGGGTTTGGCAGAGCAACACATTTCACATTCCTTCCTGTCACACAATGATCGAGTGCAGCAGACACTCTTGGCCAGTGTGTGTTGTCTATACAGCTAAAAATGTTAAGATAAATCTATTTGTACTTTGGTGTTTAACCTTAAAATCCATTAAGCAGTTATTGTGAAATTGGTATTTAAAGTCATTAGTAACTGTATAAAATCCAGTTTTATATAACAAGATTAAACATTCCACCACGTTCAAGTATGAGCAACCCTGAAGTAAATGTAAACAACACACCTGAACGTCTCAGCACAAAGCAAGAACAACACCCTGACAAAGCAGAGCCAGTTCTGCAGCTCACCAGGAGCCAACAACAACAACTGGTGACACATCATGATAAATGCATTCATGTACTGGCCCCTGACCAGGTGTGGCACCACCAGCAGCTATTTATGATCTGCTGCCAAAGTCCAGAGTGTAAGTGGTGCTCAGTTTATTAACCTAGAACAGCTCCAACCTTCAGAGGGATGTCAGTTCACCTGAGTGGCAGAAAAAGGTTCACATTCACCTCTAGTGGCACCTGGCTGCATCCATCGAGTGACTCGTTTTCACTTGATCAGTCTGACTTTTCTCTGTAAAATCAAGTTTTATGGAACTTATTTGTTAAAGACTTAACAGAATCCTCTCTTTGGATAAATTTGTTTCTGGACAGACCTGAATAGTTTTCACTGAAGAAACGGCGACAGTCTGGTGTGCATTCTCTTATTTGTGGGACATTATTTCTACAAAGAGAAGTTTCTTATTTCCCCATGTATCTTAAGTATTTCAAGTCTATGAACACCACAACTAAAATTCCATTTATGACACCAGGAATCACAGATATTAAATATGTGAGCAGATAAAACCAAAGCGATCTACACAATTAGTGAGGAGATGCTTTGTTGTATCATTTTGGTGAACTGCTCCTTTAAAACAACAATATACACAGTGTTAGTTTTGTTCTTTTGCAGCTTGTTTCCTTGAGATATAGATTCTCTCGTGGAGATTTGAAGTAGCAGTTATTTGACAGTCTGATACAAAACACTTTGGGGGGGAGGTAGGAGAAAACAGCTGGGATCAGATCTCACTGGGTTGTTTCCCTGAGACAACAGAGTCAAACCGCAGAAGAAAACACACAAGTCATTCCTCAAGAATGTGGTTCCACCTGCTCAGTGCACTAAACTGTAAAGTGTCTGTAAAAGGTCAGTACACTCTTTTTGATTCTCTTTGACTTGCAGCTTTTTGATTTTGAACAGAAGGCTCCGGCTTTGGATCTCACCTCCAGAACCTCTACATGGAAGTTTGAGTTGAAGGACTGTTACTGATCTGCTCATTTTTATCTGGAGCTGTGGGCTGACCCTCGGTGTCAGGTACCATCCTGAAAAATGTGTTTGGATGAAGAGGAAGAGGCCTGAACTGTCAGCGCAGTCAGAAAGAGGAAGTGTGAGCATGGCGGGGAAGAGATGGGACACACCATCAGTCCCCACTTCCCTCATCAGTCTCCTGAGCAAGGCTCCAGGTCCCTGAGTGTACTGGTCCAGGGGTTGGTATCCAAAGTTTGTTGTGGGAAGCAAGTGTGTTTGAATCTTCAGTCTTGGATAATTTTAGTTAAAATGATCATTTAATCCCAAACCAAGCAGCCCGACGTCTCTTATCTCTTGGTGTAAGCCTCGACCATGTCTCCATCACCCATGTCCACCTGCATAACCTGGGGGGAGTCGTAGGGCGACAGTTCCTCCTCCTCCTCCTCAAGGGAAATGCACTCAGTTTTCACCGAGTCGTCGTCTGTCCTCTGTCCCTCAGATGACTCCAGAGTTTCCAGCTCCTGGTTGCTGTCCTCGGAGAGCCCTTCCACGTAGAGGGGTGTGGTGCTGCTGTGCTTGGCGGAACGGTTCTCCTCCTCTGAGCTGACTGAACAGCTGTCGTAGGGTTCGTGGTCAGACACGGTGACAGGGCTGATGACTGGGTTGGCCAATGGACTGTACGTCGGGTGCCGTTTCCTGGGGTTTGGCAGCTGTGGCTCCTTTGTGACAGGAAGGAAGGGACAGACAGATTACAAACAGCCAACACAACACACAGTTACCAGTGTTTTGTTTGTTTTCCAGCCTGACGCCTTACCAGACACTTGGGTCGCTCGTGTACCTTCATTGTCCAGGCCTTCACCTTACAGATGAGAAATGTTACTATGGTGATCACCAGGACGAGGACGCACAGCAGCAACATAAGTGTTACCAAATGGACCTCTGTAGTCCCATTTGATTTGCTGAGACAGATAGGGCCCGTCTTGTTGAAATCCACTTGGCCCAGACAGTCGTTGTTACACAGCTGTCCTGTCAGGTTGACGCACTCCTCCACACCTTCAGGGAATGGGATGTTGTCTTGTCTGCAGATGTCATCTTTCTCCGAGCAACTAGAAGGCAAATCCTTCTGAAAGTCACAGAACATAGGATTTTAATTTGGGAGTCATCACCAGTAACCACAGTGTTCTACTGGACTGACACATTTACTGTTAGTCAGCTAACGCTAGCTTCAGACTGGAGGCTGTGTTTGATACAGTTTGTCCCAACCTGGCATCCATAGTTTACTCTGTCATTAGGAAACAGGGCGTGATGGGAGGAGCAAAGAGCGACACGCCCACAGCCCCAGTGTCCACACTCAGACGCTCAGACGTTGAGGTGTGTTCCCACCGAGTTAGCGAGGGCTCAGGACTGTCCCACTGTGAAATCGTCAAGTGCACGAGGGCTCAGGACTGTCCCACTGTGAAATCGTCAAGTGCACGAGGGCTCAGGACTGTCCCACTGTGAAATCGTCAAGTGCACGAGGGCTCAGGACTGTCCCACTGTGAAATCGTCAAGTGCACGAGGGCTCACTCGCTTTCCCTAAGTCGGCATTTCTGCAGACTTTACCTGAGGCAATTCCCCACAGTTCGTTGCGCTGTGACGTGAAATACATACCATAAAATGGAGATAAGAAAAATAAAGACGACGAACAGTCATTGTTATGTTAACTGATGTTATCCTAATGTTTCCATATGTCAGAACCATGGCGTTGTTTTGGCGTTGTCATGATGACATGATAGCCTCAGTCACAAAGAGCTGTCCCCTTCCTACATGTACAGTTTCCAGCCTCGCTGACTCTGGTGCTCAGTCACTAAAGGCTCAGGGAGGACTTTGGGACCGGGCCATGGTGTCAGCTGGAGTCTCACTAGACCCTCCACAATGAAGAAACATTAGGAACTTCAGACCAAACAGAGCGGTTTCTAAACCAGCAGCTAGAGAAGCTTTATGCATCTGAAGTTTATTGTACTTACATGACCTGTAGAGACGATGAATGTAAACATGGCCCCGTCCTCTTTGACAGCCTCCATCAGTTTTCCGTAGAAGCGGAAAGGATTCTCGAACTTGACTGTGGCCCCCGACTCCGTGGCGGTCAGGTTCACAGGGGGGAAATCCAAAGTACCTGAAAGAGGAGTTTGTTTTATCACGACCAAACAAACGATGTAAAATCCTTTCTATTAACCACCAACACCTTCCTCTAACTGAAACTACATTTGATTAACACTTACATTTTACATGAGCCGGCTTTAAACGGTTAAAGGAGAACGAGTCAGACCGTACTAGTTCCGACCGGCTTCCTCCCTGTATGGCTGTTATGGTGACGTAGTAGAAGTCCAGCACATCAGACTCCCAGATGAAAGGGCTCAGGTCATACTGGAGGTCTGTGGTTTCACCTCTGCTCCAATTATCCCTTAAGTAAAAACAAGTCCACATCACATTAGTCCAAAGTTTCATCTGAAGAGTTCTTACTCTGAAATACCAAAAGGTTACTACGTTATATCGTCTGCCTGGATACTTGCCTCCTCATCTGTCCCTCTCTGAGCTCTGGCTTCCACCCCTAATCTGTGACCAAACACTTAATGGATTAATATAGAGATTAGTTTTTTTTCTGTCCCCAACAGTTTGCTGGTCAGTGCTTCACTCGACAGCGTAACCACACCCCGACTGAAAGTCAGATTTGACGTTCAGCGCCAGAGCAGCTGTCATCAGCTCCTGATGAGCTGCAGGATCTCAGACAGTCTGCACCGGGCCCCCGACAGGCGGCCTTGTGCACGTAATCATAACAGACAGAGTATGAAAGTATCTGAGGATGAGGATGAGGGTGAGGATGGAGCTGACGCTGCGATCGGTGCACCAGAGAAAATAGACCTGAAGTGAAAGCGGGTAACGAGCGGCTCACACGTGCGTCGGGGAGACATTTCAATGTGTCTGAATTGGCCTTAACTGTACCTGTGTATGTGGCTCGGCTCCACAGAGATGTTTTGGTTTTTAATTAACTTTATTAAAGATATACAAGACAAAAAAACATCCTGCCAACATGGTAGCCTGTGTGGTGACATGGTTTCAGAGGAAACAAGCAATGACATAATATTATGTTAATGTTTGGACAAAATAAATAAAATAAATTGTTACAATGGATAAATGAACATATACTCAAGGGGAGTTGGATTTAATTCAACTGAATCATCTAGTTCAGTGGGAAAATGTTTTCACATGTCGTACAGCTTTTGAGCTTTGGTGTCCTTCATTGGTCAAAGATTTTAGATATATTTTAAATTCATTCATGAAAATAATACATTTGAATTCTGTTTTTATGAGAATTGGTTCATCATCTTTGTTTTTCATGACCAAACCAAAAGCTGTGTCATCTCTGGAGATGAGGTTTTATCCATTTGTTAATATCAAGTCAGAAGGTGTCACATCACGTCTCCACTGAATAAGAAACTCCCTCAGTCCAAGAGCAACAGCAGCCGTTAAACATAAGTGGACAAACCAGACTATTGATGGAAGAACATGGAACGCTGTTTTTACTCTGCCCTTCAAATGTGTGTTGTCCAACAAAGTTAAAGAGCTTTTACAGAAACTTTACCCATTAAACTGTTATTTGTAAATACATAGCAGGAAAATGCTCCTTTTGCAACAATGAGCTAGAAACTAGACGATCTTTCTGTCAATGTGTCCATGCGACAGCATTCTGATCCTAAAACATTTGGGAAATACTTAAAGAATATGACATAATTCATCTCTGACAAGCCCCATTTCTCTAGCAATCAGGAGATATTATTCATCTGCTCATTATTTGGGCCAAATTCTTCATTCATAGAAAAACATTTCTGGAAAAGAAAACCACCAGGTTTTACAACTTTTAAAGAATCTGATGTGAGCGATTCCTTCCAAACACTGTCACAGTTCAAACGTCAAAACAAACCGAAGCCACTGAGCCCTTCAGGTGTTTTAACGTTTATATCAGTAGCTTTACCTTTGGTTCACTTTCTCCTGCCTGTGTTTCTGGTTCTGCTTTGTGTTTACTTGTGATTGTTTTGGTGCATTAAGTTCAGTTTATTTGGTGCAGCCTATTATGAAACGGATGCACCTAATTGTATTTATATTACAAATAAAAAACTTCAGTAAACGGGACTGCTGCTCAACATCTATTAGTTTTAACGCCGACATGACCCGCTCAGTGGACACACCGGGCGACAGGGCACCAGGTGCACAGCGGCGTACCCAGGTTCATGTACTGACACTTAAGGTGCAGCTTTAATTAAAATGTTTTGCTCTCAGTCTTTTCAGCCCTTATTATTTTTGATTTCCTAGCCAAGTCTTCTGCTCCACAAGCTTGTCTCCCCCCAGAAATGGAAAAAAAAACAGCCACTTCCAGAATCTAATACTATATAAAACAGATCAGCAGCTGAATCTTACCCTTCAGATCCTACGAGATGCACGGTGAAGTTGGTCTGTGGCTGGTGCGCGCTGTTGTACTTCCACCGGACTACAGTTTTGAGATTCTGGCAGGTCACAGTTACATTTGTTGGAGGTGGAACTGCAGATGAGAAAAAGCCCATAAATAGACACCCACTCATCACAAACCACTTGGTTCAGTACACTGTGCACACAAGTGTGTGCACAGTGCACGTTTCTGTGCCTTTAACGTTGACGGCAGGGGAAATAATGTGTCCACGGGTTCCCAGCTCTTCTATGACAGATGGACACGTCTGGGGCTTTGACTGCTGATCATTAGAAGAATGTTGTTAACTTGGGCTTGATGGAATCATGGTGGGCGTTGTTCACCATGTGTTATGGACTAAAGACCGATTATTCAGGATTTCATTCACATTCAGATCAATTAACAGTGAAAACAGTGAAGCCGTAGTTCGGGTGGAATGTTGAAGAGCAGCTAGTTGTTGTTGTTGTTCGTGTCCTTATTGCCGGCGGCTGCCTGTCAGCACAGTGCTGTATTACAGGTGATACTGTTTGGATAACTACTTGACACAGAAAACTAAATCTGCCAATTTCATAAAACAATTAGACAACAAATGACCACAATAGAAGTTAAAACTGACAGAGTCCCTGATTACAAAAGAGACACTGGGCCCCTGGGCACAGACTACAAACTAAATAAAAAGTCAGTCCATGTCTCTACGAGACCAGGCCACAGCACCGAGGACCTGCTGCAGCTGGTACTGTACTTCAGTGATGCAAAGCTCTAACAAATCAGGGATTAATCAAATTATGTAGATGAAGATGACATGAAGCCGATCTGGTGCACACGGTCCCTGGAGGTTCAACAGGAGAGAGAAAAACGCTGACGAAGGCCTGTTGTTTAAATCAACCAGCTTTCCCCCTGTTTTCTCTAAGACATAAAGGCCACAAACTGTACCAGGTCATTTCAACCTTCACTCAGAAAGCAAGAGCTCACTGAGGGCATCGATCATCTGGACAAGTCGAAGCTTATCTGAGCAGACATGACCCCTGTGTGCAGTTACAGTGTGCGACACTGCAGTAGTCTGTAACAGACAGTATCACCAGTAATGCAACGCTGACAGGCAGCCGCTGGCAATAAGGAGTCAGACAGCAACTAGCTGCTCTTCAACATTCTACCCCAGATGCTTGTGAAGCACCAGACCTGGCATGTCCACAGCAGTGTGAACAGACGAGGTGTTATCAGACCAGATCTGTATGTCGATATTACCAATCAGACTGGCCTTAGGCCGGCTTCGCCCTCTTTTACAGTGCACTCATGAAATCCTACTGGCATATGTCACAGCTTGACCTTTGTTTCCAGCACTGGAGGGAGAAACGCCATAAAGCCTCGAGAGCGAAACGAGAACAGAGACAATGTTCATGTCTGGAGACAAACTGGAACTAAAACCTACCACATTAAGGTTTTTTTCAGCTTGTAGTAACGTTTACACATAAGTCTGACCACAGAAAGAGGCAGGAAGATCCAGAAACTCCCCACATTTCACAATAATGACCTGAAGAGGAAGTAAAAGTCAGCTGCTCTCTACACATCATGTCGTCATTAAATTAACCTCCTTGTACTAATGTAAAGTGTATTTTCTTTCACAGTCTATTTACATAACTTTGTGTATAATTTAGCCTTTAACTTGTTCTCTGACTGTGTAGTGGTGATTAATAAAGCACCATGTGTCTGTTGCTCAGACTCACAGTGCCACGTTACAAATAAAACCTATATTTTATATATATTTAGACATATATACACATTTCAGAGGTAAGTATTCTTACTCTAATACACTTATGACAGTCCACAATTACTTTCTAATAAAAAAAAACCTTATATCATGTGATGCAGGACTGTACTAGTACATAAAGTGTGTTAAATTAACCCCACACTGATAAACTACAACTTGAATGAGATCTTACAGATATTGTTAATGTTGTGAATTTATGACGGGGATCAGTAAAGTGAAATAACTATACTCCATCTTGTTTTATTCCTCTGTTGTTGGAAATTAACTAGTTATCAGATACTTGTGCTGCAGTAAAAGACACATCGGTCTGTAAAATGTAGTGAGGTCCAAGTATGAAGTGGTGGAAAATGGAAATATTCAAGTAAAGTAACTGTAAAGTACCTCAGAAATGTACTTAAGAGTACAAACATTATTCCAGTGGTTGGTACCGAGGTCGGAGGTCGGAGGTCCCTTACCTAGGCCAGCAGAGACTCCAGCCACCAGGAGGACCGCAGCCAGCATCATACTTCAGGCCTTCGGCTGCTCTTTGACTCCCGCGTCCTTCTCAGAACCGAGAAGCCCAAATCAAACTTATTCAGACTCAAAGAGTCGCAACGAGCGGAGCTTCCCGGCAGCACGTTTCCTTATTACCCACCTGATCTCTAGTCAAACTGATGTGTAATACGTGAGTCACAACGCGGTTCCACCTGCAGCGTGCGTGAGGCTGGAGCGCACATCAATCAAATTAACCTGTTGATCGGGAAAAACACCTTGACGACGTCCCCGGATGTTGTGATACAACGAAAGACTTCACTGTAAGAACAAAATGTGAATGAAAGAAAAATAAATGTGGCCCCAATTAAAGTTAAAAACTAAAGATAAGAAAAATAAGAACGAAATATTAAAGCCCTGAAACACCGGCTGGCCACTTTATTAGGTACACCTGTACAAGTGAATGCACCTCAATGCAACACTTCCGCCTTAACATGAGAGGGTCAGAATATTAGGAACACCTCTGAGTATTACGTAGTCCAGTCCAACGACACCTCTGTGACCTCAGTAATAAGCCTAGAATAGAATTTATACATTCATGACAATTTCACGAAACATTTTCAGCTTCATAAACACAGATGTTAAGGTGTGAGGGTCGCACACGTGTCTGACATTTCATCTGGACAGCTGCCCCACCTTCTGTCACTGAGCTTTACTGGCAAACAAAGTGGGACCAGTGCCCTCACTCGCTGACACACAGCACATCCCAGCCCCTTACCCCACCCAAACAGCCCTGTGGGGGTGCGTCAGAAAGGGAGGACTGGCCAAAATGTCCCGGCTAAAGCTCAGCCTGGTCCCCACAGAGGCGGCTATAACGGTGCAGACACACAGTGCTGCTGTGGGTGTTTGTCAGCTGCTTGTGGAGCTCGGCTGCCCTCTCATGGCCACAACCGGTAAATGCAGTTTTAAGTGTATGAACATGCACATGCATAATTGCACACTCACAGCTGACTATGTGCACACACAGCCCATGTAGCATACACTGTCTCTTCATTGTATTGTGTTCTTGTTGTATTTTTCATTATGCTTCCTCAAAGTGCCTTAGATTTTGTGTTACCTACGTATCCACTTTATACTTCACTTAGATTTTGTGTTACCTACGTATCCTCTTTATACTTCACTTAGATTTTGTGGCATTCATGCGAACAGCAAAGTAAGGATTTCATTGTACAGGGAAACAGGATTCCTCACTGCACATATGACAATAAACACTTGACTTAAAGGCATCGTGTGCATTTTGCCATCAACTGATCTGTCTTTGATGACTGTTTCAGTATCTGATCACAAACCAAAGTTTTGAACAGACTGAAACTGAAAATGAGCAGTAAGAGTTTAATTTTAAGTTACATTACTAACTTTAAAGCTGAACTTCAGTAAAGAACTAAAATGCAAATATGAGTAAAAAAAAACCTACATTTTAAAACATTATTATACAATAATGAGCAGCCTGGGGCGTTTTAACAAAGCGTAGATTATCTTTACAAACAGTAGCCTAACGGAAATTAACAACTGAGTCAGCGTGTCTAAAAATGTACTTCATCCTTCTCTTTATTTGGCTCTTCATCACCACCTGTCTGAAGATCGTCACTGTGCTCCTCTTTCAGTCAGGGAAACAGGTTTGTGCTGAAACTCAAGGCTGTTTTCATTGTTATCTTTTTGGATGACGCTGATGTGTTTTCAGTGTCCTTTCACATGTTTGGCTTGTGACCCCTGACAAACTAGTCTTGAACCTTCTGTCCATCAAAATAAGAAACTGATGTATGTGTGCGTGCTCACATTTTTGTATTAAAGCTTTTTAACAAATCTGAATGTTTCTCTTTGCCGGGACATCTGGGTTCATCTTGTTTGAATAAATGGAGCAGTGATAAAAACTAACAAAGGACAATCTGACCAGGTTACTGCTTTTTAAAGGTTTCCACAGAGTTTAGGTCCAGTCTGCTTTAGTTTTGGAGAACCTACAGCTCCATTGCCACCGCCTGGTACCAGCTCGACTCGACTTGACTTATTTGTTTTTCCACTGGGGATAGTACCCGGTCCCTGGCACCGTTTTTGGTATGACTTCTGTTGAGGTTCCAAGCAAGCTGATACCAAATGGTGACGTGTAAACACTGTAGACTAGCGCCTGCTTAGAGAAAGTCGTCATTACTACACAGCCATCTTGTCACAGATGAACCCAGATGTTTACATGTGATGACACCAGTTGCTCGTGCTTCACTCATAGTAGCTGCTACTTCTCTCTCACAAGTGTAGGGGGTCAAATTTATGCCGACAAAGTCCTTGAGCCTGTCACCTTATAACTGTTTTATTACTGAACCACCACATTGTACATTTTATTACATAGCCCAGAAGTTAGTGAATGTGTTAATACAGCTATGACTGCTGAGTAGAGCTAGCTAGCTTTTTTAAATTGAAACAAAGCAACACATTAACAAAACAGGACCAAACATGGGAGACAAGACAACAGATACATGACATTACAAAAGGATGTAGAGTGTTTTACAAGACTGTAGTTTGTGAAGTGTGGGTATGTCCAATTTATTCAGTGTATGAAATGCAAGAAAGGGAAAAGGAGGGAAAATGAATAAATAAA